GTCAATGCCCAGGGGTAGTATCGTGTGCAGATATTGTTGCTTTAGCTGCTAGAGACGCTGTCGTCTTGGTAATGCATTAAACCCACTTGAGTTATATATACACTTTCTAAATTTTTTCTTACTCTATTACTTTATTTTAATACGTGCTAGCAAGTTAGTTATTATTTTTATTATAGGTTATAATTAATGTTTAACATAATGATTTACTTGTAATTATTTTGTAATTGATTTGGTTGCGCAAATATCTTTTACACTGTCAGTGTATAAAACTTAGAGCCTGTTTGCACATAAGAAAATTTTCCTTTTTTTTTCAAAAAAAGAAGAACAAAATTCAATAGTGTTTGGTTAATAAAATCTTATAATTTTTCTAATCTCAATTGAAAATGCATTTTCAAATTTGAAAAACTAGTGAGAACCAGTTTTGCAATTGAAAATTGGAAGGCTGCTATTTTTTAGTTTTACAAATTTACCCTATATTTTTAAAATTTATCAAAAGACCCCATCAATTATTAACCTTGGTAACCATCAACTATCTACTTTCTCTTCCATAAAGTCAGAACACACAAAATACAAGCAGCACGTCTTCTTCTCACTAAAGTGTGCGGCTGCCTTTGCCATCCCAATCCAGCAAGGGGTTGGCATCTCCCATCAGCTGCGCCGATATTCTTTGAACTTTGCATATTGGAAGTTGCCTACTGGAAGTTTGATTATATGGTTATGATGAATATGTGGCTATACCTGCTTTTGCACCTTCTGTGTCAGTAGAATTAGAACATGTGATATTGATTTTACATCTTCTGTGTGTTGCAGTAAAGCATAATATGATAACAGTTAAACAATAGTATGTTTGATTGTTTGTTTCAAGTAGGTTAACCAAATTGGGGTGGTTTTGATATTTTTTGCAAATTGTGTGGTATAAATCATATTTCATGGTTTTGAAAAAAAAAAGACATCCAAATATGTTGCAAAAATTATAACCAAACACAACTTCATCTTCAATTCAAATTTTAGTAAAATTTCAAATTTAAAAAAAAATAAATTGGAATTCATGTCCAAACGCCTACTTCAACTTTTGACGTAAAACTAAATTATTTTCCATACATATATTGATTCCGGATACTATTATTTCGCTTTTAATTTCTTCCTTACTATTAAATGTGAAAATGTACTAATTAAGGCGGAATAGCATGTCTTTAGTCATGTGTATGACTTATATCTTTCCTTTTTTTTAAATGACAAAAAAAATAGGTGTATGACATGTACTTTTTTTTCCCCTCCGATTTCATGTTATTTTTGTGTAATTTGAGATTATTAAGAAAGAGCTCCATGTTAGGATTACTGTGTTGATGAATTAAGATAAAAAAAAATTCCAATCTTTCGTGATATATCATGATTATGTATTTGCATTTTCTTAATTAAGAATACTTAGTAACAGTCTAATTCTCTTTTGATACATTATGAGATATAGGCTGGCGGACCATTTTATGAAGTTGAGACTGGTAGAAGAGATGGTAGAGTATCCGATTTGTCTCTTGCAGCTGCAATGCCAGATGTGGATGACTCAATTGATGTTTTAAAAGGAAAATTCAAAAATAAAGGCTTTACTGAAAAAGAACTCGTCATTTTGAGTGGTAATGATCTATTCCTTCTATTTCAATTTTATCCATTCCTATGATATAACCCATCTATTTCATTTATTAAACTTGACTTACACATACAATATAACAGGGATACTGTAATTATAGCAAGTTACATATCGTATTTATAGATTGTTAATTCCACAAGTTAATTATATGTAGTTATATTTTTGGTGAATTACAGCTTGTTTGGCCAAGCTGCAAAAATCAGTTTATTTTGAGAAGTATTTTTCTCAAAAGTGCTTTTTGGGTGAGGAGCAGTTTGTGTTTGACTAATTTATTTGAAAAACACTTCTGATAAGCAATTAGTGTTTGGCCAAGCTTTTAAAAAATGCTTCTAAGTAGGGGTGACAAAATGGCTAAAAGAAAACAGTTAACCACCCATATTATCCACTAAAAAATGGAGTGGATAATGAACTTTTTTAGAACGGGTCAAATATGGATAAGAACCATATTATCCATTTAGAAAATGGATAACTAATGAGTCTAGCTTTTACATCTGTAAAGGATCAAATTGGAGATTCCTCAAGTTAGGGAGACTAAGAATCCTCCCAAAAGTGATCATATGCAAAAAGTCATGGATAATATAGTTACCCATATTATCCCCTGGTTAACCCGTTTTTTTATCCATATTAAATATGTGTCGGGTCGGATAATTTATCCGTTTTTTCATTATCCATTTTCGATCCGAACCATATCCGCCCCGCCCTGCGCCGTTTGACACTCCATCTTCTAAGTCTATTTTTCTCAAAAGTGCTATTTTTTTTAGAGAAGCTATTTTTTGCTGCTTCTCCTCAAAAATACTTTTTTCCCCTCTAAAAGCTTGGCCAAACACTTCAATTTTAGGGGAAAAAAATGTTTTTGGCCCGGAAAAGATTGGCCAAACAAACTATTAATCGAGTAAAAATTGCTCTGTACTTTCAGTATATAAAAGTTAAACTCGTATATTAAGACAGGTAAATAGTGATGCTAATTGTAAACATACATAATCATGGATACAATTTGGTTTATAGCTATAATATCATATATTTTTGTCACTTAATTTTAGGTTGACATTAATTGATGCATCATGTTATACATCTAGGGGCACATACAATTGGCACAACAGCTTGTTTTTTCATGCCTCGAAGATTATACAATTTTACTGGAAGATCAGATGCAGATCCAAGTATTAATTCTAAGTTCCTCCCAGAGTTAAGAAGCAAATGCCCCAAAAATGGAAACATAAATTTCAGAATACCTCTTGATAACGCAAGCGAACGAAAATTTGACGATCAGATTTTGCACAACATAAAGAATGGTTTCGCAGTTATAGCTTCAGATGCAAGGCTTTATGACGACAAAATTACACGAGCTGTGATTGATTCCTATCTTCAGAGAAATAAATCGATTCGTAATTCACCATCATTTGCAAGGGATTTTGGTTTAACCATGATAAAGTTAGGAAGGCTTGATGTCAAGACTGGATTAGTAGGAGAGATTAGAAAGGTTTGTAATTCTTTTAATAAAATGTAATAACATTTATATTGAGATATAGTATTACTTAATTAGTGTACGTGTTTATTGTCTTCGAGAAGAATAAGATCATGCGATGTCTCCCTATAGTTTTTATTCATTAGGTTCCACGGTCTAGGGCTTATGCTGGATAATTGTTGGGTTGACCTGTTTCAAAATTGTTCTTTATTTTTTTCAGCTCCAATATTTCAATCCAAATACGTAATTGCTTATTTTTTTCCCCAGCTCTAACACTTAGAAAATGATTTTCAACACTTGGTGCTTAAATAACTTCTTAAATTTAGCTTTATCCAAACAGATTCATAGTTTACTGCTGAAGTCGAAAATACATGGGAGTAGTAATGTATATTACAAGAACACACACAGAAAAGACTTTGGAAAACGAATCACGAGCAAGCTAATGTAGGATCATCGGAATTTTCTGTCATAATTTCTTAAACTGAAACTATAAGGATTTCAAATAATGAAGAAGAGAAGGGAATGTGTGACTTGGACAAGTGAGAATGGTAGTGATGATCTAACAAACTTACTGTTAAGAACCAGATAAGGAACCTGATACACATCCTCAAGAACTTAAAGATCAACAAGTCTCCAGTTGGGGACACAGTTCAACTCTTCAGAGTCAAAGGAACAGCAGAGGGAACAAATAGCTACCAGATCTCGCGGTGATTGTACAAGTCAACTCCTCCAGCTGTAAAGTTGCTGCCTGCACATGCAACAGTGCGAAAATAGTGCAACAGTCAACTTTATGGGAATACCCTTTACCTAACTTGCTTGCATCATTCAAGTGATGTCACAAATGAATTATTAACATCAAGCAGAGGTAAAACAAAACACTTGCACATTCAAGAATTGATCAAGCATTCTCTCAAGTCATCTATCAATCTTGCAAGTGACTCTCGAGGGGATCAAGAACAAAGAACAACATAACAACGTACTGGTTCCCTGTATCGAGTTATTACATGTCCTTAGTTGTGTTGTACCTTTGTTAAAACACTCTACTTGTAATTCCTACTTAGATTAGTTAGAAGCATTGTGTAGGAAATCTTTGTAAATCATAAACCCTGCTAGAGTTAGTCGAGTCGTAAAGTCTTTGTAATAGAGTTATTACAAAGTGACTTGTAATAGTGTTGTTACAAGTTAGTGAGGGATTAAGAGGTTAATTCCTATGTTACAATATTTTGTAATCTAAAGTTTGCTCAGTAGTGAAGTTGAAGTCCTACAACGCTAGGTCGTGATTTTTGATCCCGTGAGCTGGGAGTTTTCCACGTAAAACTCCATTGTGTCATTTACTTACTGCAGTGTGTGCATGTTCTGTGGGAACTAATAGAGAACCTGGTTCTCTATATAGTTTGGTGGACCCTTAATTTCTATTAATTGGTATCAGAGCAGGTTCTTTCTATCAGGCTAACATCTAGAAAAGATCCTCATGGTTGCTCCGCCAAACTTCGAAGAAGGTCAGTCTACTTACAGACCACCAAGATTCAACGACCAATACTATGGATGGTGGAAGACAAGGATGTGCGACTTTATCATAGCTGAAGACTCAAAGCTCTGGAATATCATCTGCGACGGACCCTTCGTTCCTACGAAGACCATTGGAGACCTCGCAGTGACAGTTCCTAAAACTAGAAAGGAATATAATGATGCTGACCGCAAGGCTATTGAAAAGAACTTTCGAGCTAAGAAAATCCTCGTTTGTCGTATTTGACCAGATGAGTACAACATGATTTCAGCAGTTCAACCAGCTAAGGAGATCTAGGAAGCTCTCCAAACAGCTCATGAAGGGGCAACACAGTAAAGCAGTCCAAAATTGACATGCTGACCACATAGTATGAGCTCTTCAGAATGAAGGACGATGAATCCATTCAGGATATGCACACTCGCTTCACATCTAGCATCAATGAGCTTCACTCACTTGGAGATATCATCCCCAGGAACAAACTTGTCAAGAAGATACTTAGTGTATTACCTGGTTCCTGGGAAAGCAAAGTAAATGCCATCACAGAGGCAAAGGATCTTCAGGAGCTGACCATTGATGAACTTGTCGGCAATCTCAAGACCTATGAAATGAAGAAGAAGAAGGACAATGAGAGAAGAGAGCCCAAAGGGGAGAAGAACCTGGTCCTAAAGACGGATAGCAATGACTCAGGTGGTGAGGATGCTCATATGGCCTACCTGACAAAAAGGTTTCAGAAAATGGTTCGCAGAAATAGAGGCATTCCAAAAGGGGGCAACTCCAGCAAGCCAAAAGGTTATGACCTATGTCATAAGTGCGGCAAGCTAGGACACTTCATCAAGGATTGACCTCTCCTCAAGCAAGATCAATACAAACACATCATTGACAAAGCAGGTAAGAGGAACTAGGTTCCTAACAAACCATTCAAGAGAAAAGATGCGGCTGACAATGTTGTGAAACAAGCTCTTGCTGCATGGGGAGACTCTTCCAGCAAATCTGAAGAAGATGATGATCAAGGTGATAACTCCATGATGGCAGTGGAAAGTGAAGCAACTGAGTATGACTCAATCTTTTTCCTTATGGCAAAATCTGACAATGATGAAGATGAGGATGATGATGATGAGGTAAACTTCCTAGATGTCCAAAGAAATCTAAAGTCTTATTCTCCGAAAAAACTTATGTCTTTGGCAAATATTTTAATTGATGCTTCTCATAGTCTTATAAATGATAAAGATGCATTAACTGTGGAACTGGGAGAAGCAGAATAGTCGTGAGATGATCTAGTAGTTGTGGTGGTAGACTTAAAGGAAACTATTGAGAGTCTGAAGAAAGAAAAGGATGCCTTAACTAAAAAAGTTGCAAACATAGAACATGAGAGAGAAGATCTAGTGGTTGTTGTGGTCAATCTAAAAGAGACCATTGAGTGTGTTAAAAAGGAGAAAGAAGTTTTAACTGAGAGGGTTGCTAACATTGAGCATGAGAAAGATGACCTATTAGTGGTGGTTATAGACCTAAAGGAAACAATTGAGGAGCTAAAAAGGGAAAGTAGACCTGGGAACACTCAAAAAGGAAAGAAAGTTGTAAGTGAAGCACACCTTAGGCTTGAAGATGAGATAAAATCAGTAAAATCTAGTCTGTGTGCAGAGCTTGAGAAAAACAAACAACTTCAGAAAAACCTAGGAAAAGTGAAGAGTGACCTAAAAAAATCACTTAAGTGGACCTGGTCCTCTGATGCAATCACTGCTATGCGTACAAACAGTGGGGGAAACAGACAATGAATCGAGTTTCAAAGGGAAAAGACTCCCTACAACCCTCATAGCAAGTACGTTACTGTACCTGATAACTGGCTCTGCACTCACTGTGGTAACACTAGTCACTTTAAGGAAACTTGTAAGGCCATATTTCAATCTCAACAAAAAATAAAATTTTTGCTGAAAAAGTAACTACTGCTAGGGAACCTGGTCCTTCATATAAAAAACGTGTGATGCCTGCTTGGACCAAAAGAGCCCTCATTCACCCCTTTCCTCATTACAAAGGACCCAAACTTGTTTGGGTTCCTAAGTCTGACTCTTGATTTTCTTGTGCAGGGAATAGTGAAAGGGAGCATCCAACAATGGTACATGGATAACGGCTGCTCGAAGCACATGACTGGAGGTACAAATGATTTCCTTTCACTGAAGGCCCTGCAGGGAGGGAGTGTATCATTTGTAAATGGTAAGAAGAGATACATTCTGGGAGTTGGAAGGAGTCTTTTTCTCACTCTATTGAAAATGTGTACTACGTGAACGGGTTGACGTACAACTTGCTGAGTGTTTCCCAAACTTGTTACAAGGGAAACAAAGTGGAATTTGTATCTAAGTTATGCGGTCACAAATCTTGTGACTGGTGAAGTGGTGTTAGTGGACAAAAGATACAAAAATATCTACGTTGCTAACTTTGAGTCCCTGAAAAATGGGGATCTCAGCTGTCTGAGTGCTATTGATGATAATGTTGAGCTATGGAATATAAGGCTAGGTCATGCAAGTTTCACGTTGCTGAACAAATTGGTCAATAAGGACCTGGTTCATAGTCTGCCCAAGTCAAGCTTCAAGGATCACAGGGTGTGTGATGCATGTGTAAAAGGAAAGCAAGTCAGATCCTCTTTCAAGCCCAAAAAGGAAGTTAGTACCTTAAGGCCACTTGATCTCCTCCATATGGATCTATGTAGACCTATGAGGGTGCCAAGTAGAGGAGGAAAGAAGTACATGTTTGTTATAGTGGATGACTATTCCAGATTCACTTGGACTCTGTTTCTCAGAACCAAGGATGAAACCTTTCAAGTGTTTGTGGCATTTGTGAAGAAGATCCAGGTGAGATGAGCCATAATGTAGTATGTATCAGGTCCGACCATGGGATAAAATTTGATAATGCCAAATTCGACGAATTCTTTGCTGAAAATGTCATCACTCATAATTTTTCAGCTCCAAGAACACCTCAACAAAATGGTGTTGTGGAGAGGAAGAACAAGACTCTTGAAGACATGGCAAGACCAATGTTGATTGATAGTGGCATTGCAAAAGGTTTCTGGGCAGAAGCCGTCAACACTGCATGCTACTTGGTGAAAAGGTGCATGATCAGCTCCCTTATGAACAAAATGCCATATGAACTGATAAACAAAAGGAAGCCCAAGCTGACACATTTAAGAACATTTGGCTGCAAATGTTTGTCCTCAATAATGGCAAGGAAGTACTTGGAAAATTCAATGGGAAAGCGATGAGAGAATCTTTCTGGGCTATTCATCAATGCAAAGCCTATAAAGTACAACAAAAGAACTCAATGTGTTGAGGAAATCATACATGTGATCTTCAATGAATCTCATGACCCATGTGGAAAGGATTTGAATGATAAGAATGATCAAGACGGAGAACAATTCAATTTTCCTTGGTGAAGTCATTGACATGGCAAATGGAAATGTTGATATGATGAGCCACGTTGAGGAATAAAATGAGGATGGTGCAACCATATCTCCAATTGATGGAGGGGAACCTGGTCCCTCAATCACAACAATTAAAGCTGAAAATAGAGTTGTCGATGCTGTCCAAGGCACCCCACATGCTGAGATAAAAAGAAGCCAAGGTTCACAGTCTGAAATACCTGGATCATCTAATAATGAGACTCAGGTGTCTAACTGGAAGCACAAAAGTTCACATCCTCTTGAAAACATAATCACTCCTCTTGATTCAGGAATTCAAACCAGATCAAAGATAAGAAACTAACTTGCCTTCTCAGCCTTTTTCTCTCAAATAAATCCCAAAAATATCAAGGAAGCACTGAAAGATGCAGACTGGATTACAGCTATGCAAGAAGAGCTCCATCAATTTGAGTGGAACAGTTTGTGGCACCTAGTTCCATGACCTCCTGACCGAACTGTTATAGGAACCAGGTGGGTATTCAGAAACAAACTTGATGAGTTTGGAAACACAACAAGGAACAAGGCAAGGCTAGTTGATGGGTTTTCAATGTCTTTGCCTTATGCTTCTTATGTTTTGATGATATAACAAACTTATTGTCAAGAACCAGACAGACAAACTGACACACCTGGTATACATTTCAAATGAACAATGTCCAGTCTGATCTCCAGCAAATGAGTGGACAACCACAAGGAAAACACAACAGGGTCCTGGACAGAAGTACAAGTCAACTGTACAGCTGGAACGTAACATCAGAAAGTGACTGTCCGCAACTGTTACAAAGAGGAACACAACAGGGACCTGGTCCCTTAGGGTTCTCTGACAGAAGTACAAGTCAACTATACAACTGGAACACAACTGCAGAAAGTGACTGTCCGCAACTGTACACGCGATAGTGCAACAGTCACTTCTCATTGGGAAGAAGCGTGTACCGAGAATTGACATCACCATTGTGATGTCTTTTGTAGTATAACAACCTGGTGCTAGGAACACCACACTTTCTTGTGCATTTAGTGATTTTCTCTCAAGCATTAAAGTGTTCATCCGGCATTGAAGTCACTGGTGTGTCAAGAACAAGAAGACAACTCCACTAAAGGATCAGTTTCACAATGAGTCTATGTGTATCAGTAGTTGAGTTGTAATCTTGTCATTTGTTCTTCATTGTAACTCCTATCTTGCTTTCTTAGAAGCTATATTTTAGGAAACCCAAAATCTGTAAACTTTCTGAGTTTATGTTGTGACTAAGTTTAGTCATAAGTTTAAAGTCTTTGTAACTATAGAGTTACAAAGTGGATTGTGGTAAGTGTATCACAAGTTAGTTAAGTTGAAGTCTTTGTAATAGAGTTATTACAAAGTGGCTTGTAATAGTGAGATTACAAGTTAGTGATGTTGAAAGCCTACAAGTGTAGGTCGTGGTTTTTGTCCCCTTGTGTGGGATTTTTCCACGTAAAAATCCCTTGTCTCTTTTACTTACTGCTTCATAACGTATTCTCAGTAGAAACTCATAAAGGATCAGGTGCTCTATAGTTTGCTGGACTCATATGAGTTAACAATTGGTATCAGAGCAGATTTTTTCTAAAAGGTTAACACCTAGAAAGGATCTCAATGGCTGCTCCACCCAACTTTGAGGAAGGACAATCAACCTACAGACCTCCTAGATTCAATGGTCAGTACTACGGGTGGTAGAAGACTCGCATACATGATTTCATAATGGCCGAAGATTCAAAACTGTGGGACATCATCTGTGATGGTCCACATGTTCCTATGAAGAAGCTTGAAGAAACTGGAGCAATGGTGCCGAAAGACAGAAAAGAATACAGTGATATTGACAGAAAAGCCGTAGAAAAGAACTATCGCGCCAAGAAAATCTTGGTATGTGGTATAGGACCTGATGAGTACAACAGAGTCTCAGCTTGTGATACTGCCAAAGAAATATGGAAACCGTTGCAAACCGCACACGAAGGAACTACTCAGGTTAAACAGTCCAAGATTGACATGCTCACCACAGAGTATGAGCTCTTCAGGATGAAGGATGATGAGTCTATACAGGATATGCACACCAGATTCACATCCATCATAACTGAGCTGCATTCACTTGGAGATGTTATTCCTTGAAACAAGCTTGTAAGGAAAATCCTCAGTGTTCTACCTGGTTCTTGGGAAAGTAAGGTAACTGCCATCACTCAAGCTAAGAATCTACAAACTCTAAGCATGGATGAGCTGATTGGTAATCTGAAGACTTACGAGATGAAAAGAAAGAAAGACAGTGAAAGGAGAGAGCCAAAGAAGGAAAAGAACCTGGTACTCAAGGCTGATAGCAGTGACTCAAGTGAAGAAGATAATGATATGGCCTATCTTACTAAAAGATTTCAAAAGATGGTTCGAAGGAATGGTGGTATACCAAAGAGGGGCAGTTCAAGTAAGGCAAGGAACAATGATCTCTGTCACAGGTGCGGAAAGCCAGGGCATTTCATCAAAGACTGTCCACTTGTGAAACAGGAGAAATACAAACAAAACCCTGACAAGCAGCAAAAAGGAACCTGGTTCCGGACAAACGATTCAGTCGAAAAAGTGCAGCTGACAATATTGTGAAGCAGGCTCTTGCCGCTTGGGGAGACTCCTCCAGTGAATCAAAAAGGGAACCAGATGCAGACTACAGTTCCATGATGGCAGTGGAAACTGAAGCAACGAAGTATGACTCACTGTCCGCGCTGATGGCTCAGTCTGATGATGATGAAAATGATGAGGTAAATTTTAGGGATATTCAGAGAAATCTGAAATCCTACTCTTCTAAGAAGTTAAGGTCATTAGCAAATGTCCTAATTGATGCTTATTATAGCCTTGATAATGATAAGGAGGTCCTGACCATAGAACTAGGAGAAGCTGAACAATCTAGAGATGATCTGGTGGTCTGTGTAGTGGACCTAAATGAGACCATAGCTAATTTTGAAAAAGAAAAGGGAAGTTCTGAATGAAAAAATAACTAGTGTAGAAAATGATAGAGATGACCTGATGGTAGTGGTTGCTGACTTGAAGGAAACAATAGAAGGTCTTAGAAATGAGAAACACAATCTAGAAGAAAAAATTACAGCTACTGAGCAAGAGAGGGATGATTTTTAGTAATAATCACTGACTTAGAGGAAACCATTGAGGGACTCAATAGAGAACATAAGACTTTGAGTCTTGGGAAAGGGCAGGAAATAGCTAGTGAGACACACATCAAGCTTGAAAAGGAATTAACTGATGTGAAAACTAGTCTATGTGGTAAACTTGAGAAAAATCGAAAACTTCAAGCTGAATTGGAGAAAGTAAGAATTGATCTTGAGAAATCTCTGAAGTGGACCTGGTCCTCAGATGCTATCACTGCCATGTATTTCAACAATAGTGGAAACAGGCAGGGAATCGGGTTCCAAAGGGAGAAAACCCCTTACAACCCTCACAACAAGTACGTCACGGTTCCTGATAACTGGCTGTGTACCCACTGTGGGAACAATGGGCACTTTAAAGAAAATTACCAGGCCAGGGCTCAATCTGTTCAGAGAAACACAGTGTTTACTAACAAAGTGACTACTAATAAAGGACTAGGTACCCCTCGCAAGAAACGAATGTCGCCTGCATGGACTAGAAAAGCCCTTAGCCATCCCTTTTATCATAACAAGGGACCCAAACTAGTTTGGGTTCCTAAATCTAACCCATAATTTGCATGTGCAGGGAACAGTAAGGGGAAGCGGACTGGAATAGACCATGGACAGTGGATGCTCAAAGCACGTGACTGGAAGCACCATGGATTTCCTCTCACTGAAAGCCCTGCAGGAAGGAATGTATCCTTTTATAAAAAGAGGGGATACATTCTCGGTGTTGGAAAAGTTGGAAAGTCTCTTTGAAACTCAATTGGAAACGTGTACTATGTGGATGGCCTTAAGTACAGTCTCTTGAGTGTTTCTCAAATCTGTGATAGAGGGAAAAAAGTAGAGTTCTTATCAAAGTGTGCACAGTTACCAATTTGGTAACTGGCAAAGTGGTCTTAGTGGCCAAAAGAAACAAGAACATCTACGTTGCTGACTTTGAATCTTTATAAGCTGGTGATATGAAATGCTTGAAGTTAGTTGATAATGACGCAGAACTTTGGCTTGGAAGATTGGGGCATGCAAGCTTCTCACATCTGAATAAATTAATTCAGAAGGACCTGGTTCGTGGTCTGCCAAATTCAAGATTCACCTAGACATTGGTTCTTAGAACAAAGGATGAGACTTTCGAGGTATTTATGGCCTTTGTCAAGAAGATCCAAGAGAAGATAAAATTGAAGGTAGTATGCATCAGATCTGACCACGGGACAGAATTTGACAACGCCAAATTTGATGAGCTTGTAACAAAAATGGAATCACACACAACCTCTCAACACCAACGACTCCACAGCAAAATGGTGTTGTTGAAAGAAAGAACGGAACTCTGGAAAACATGGCATGGACAATGCACATCGACAGTGGAGTTGCCAAAATTTCTGGGCGAAAGAAATAAACACTGCATGCTGCTTGGTGAGCAGGTGTATGATCAGGTCCCTGCTGAACAAAACCCACTATGAGCTGCGAAATGGAAGAAAACCAATGACAACTTGTCTGAGAACCTTTTGAATGAAAATGCCATGATCTCAACAACGGGAAGGACCAACTTGGGATGTTTTGATGCAAAAAGGCGATGAAGGAATCCTTCTAGGATACTCCCACAAAGCAAAGGGCACAAAGTTTACAACAAAAGGGGCACACTGGGTGGAAGGAAGAGTTCATGTGCTATTCATCAAGACACCTTCCTCTAACAAATGAGGAAACAGTGATGATCAATATAATGAAACGTCTCCGGTCTCTAGGAAATATCCGGGGTTTCAAATGGGAAGGCTGATTTGATGAGTAAGATGAAGGAGACAGGTGAGAGACAATGCAACATCCTCTTCCACGTCTCACAAGGAACCTGGTACCTCAATTACTACCACTAAAGCTGAAGAAAGAGTGGAAATGTAGTGCAAGGCACTCCACAAGTAACAAAACAAGGAGTGCAGGGAAATCCAATTAACCTACCAATTTCCTCTACCAATCAAACCTTAGTCCCAAACTGGAAACACAAAAGCTCCCATCTGCCTGATAACATAATCACTCCCCTTCATTCTGAATTTAGACAAGAATCCAAAATCAAGTCCCAAGGAATCCTACTTAAAGGCTGCCAAAAGAAGTTTAGGATAGATTAAGGGAACACAGGACCTGGTCATGTATTACCCCTCTGGTGACAGTTTTGACCTTATTGGGTATGTTGATGTTAAGTATGCAGGTTATCTTGTGGACAGGAAAAGCACTTCTGGAATGGTTCACTTGCCATGATCATGTCTCATTTCTTGGGGCACAAGGAAGCAAAACTCAATGGCTACGTCAACAACTAAAGCAGAATATGTAGCGGCAGTATCCTGCTATGCTTAAATCATATGAATTAAGCAGCAACTGGAAGATTTTGGAGTATTCTCTGATGGTATACCTTTTCTATCCAGTTCAAACCAAGAGGACCAAGCACATTGAGGTAAAGCCTTATCTTTTGAGGGTCAATATGTAGAAAGGGTTGATCTGTGGAAAGTCCTGCAGCACAAAAGACCAAATTCCAGACATCTTCACCAAAGCCTTGGGTAGGAAACACTTTGAAAGAAACAAGGTGAAGCTGGGGTTATTAAAATCTAATGGAGAACCTGATTCTCCATCAGTTGGCTATGAAAAAAAAACACAC